TCTCTCTCTCTCTCTCTCTCTCTCTCTCTCTCTCTCTCTCTCTCTCTCTTTCTCCCTCCCTCCCTCCCTCCCTCCCTCTCATAGTGTGTGTGTGTGTGTGTGTGTGTGTGTGTGTGTGTGTGTGTGTGTGTGTGTGTTGTATGATTTATGTATGCACATCCAGAGATCAACTTCAGGTTTGGTTCTTCAAGGACCATCCACCTAGTTTTTGAGGCAGGATATTTCACTGGAACCTGGCACTTGCAGGGTAGGCTGGGCTTGCTAGTCAACAAGATCCAGGAATTTGATGGTCTCCCCTCTCTTGTGCTGGAATCACATTCTTATGCCACCATGTCTAGCTTTTCTTTTATTTGGGTCTTGGGGATCAAACTCAGTTCCTCGCACTTGCATAGCAAGCACTTTCCTGAATGAGCTGTGGAGCCAGCTCTGTAGCCCTTGTTTCTTGATACATGCTACTAGACTTTCATTTAAGCAAACTGAGACATTAATTGAATAAGAGCAAAATGGTCCTTTGTAAAATAAACTTAGCTTATTTTTTCTTCTGAAGCTCTGTGACTTGAAGTGCTAAGTCCATTGTTTGACTAGTTTCCAAATTGATATATCCCCTTCTCCACAGGCATCAGTTCTACAAGAATGCAGGTAGCATCTCCCTTCATGAACCATGATTGTCTTAGATGTGCATGACTGTTTCCCTTTTATTAACACAATATTATTATTTATTTTCTATATCCTACATGCATAAAACATTAGAAATTTTAATTTTTCTTTCTAAAGTTACAAATACCTTACAAATAACTCAAGTTACCAAAGACTTTTATGCTTATTTCCATCATGACCAACCACCTATTAATTTAAGGTCAAACATGATTATTCTCCCCAGAACACAACTGAAACATTGATTTCCTCTTCTATATCTCTAATCCCCCAATATCCGTGGCAGTGAGTGCTCGTCACTTCAGTGTTCCCAGCTGAAATGGCTGGAGATGTACTGAATCTCTAGAGAACAACGTAGAAGGACAGAAAGGAGGAGCCATGATGATTAACCCGTCCAGCTAGCCCACGAGCTCTAGACTTTCTCTTTTGCAGTTGTGGAAACTAAGGCTCATGGGATTAATATTGGTTTGTCCAGCGTTCCACTCCACACCTCTTCAGGTCACATTTCAATCTAATGTGACTCCACGTTTCATATCATCTTTGCAGTACCAGGATGGGGGTGGGGTGGGGTCAGTAAAGTGCTAGAATCATGTATATGATTGGTACTAGGGTAGGAAAGGACTTGAAGAAGGGGATTTCGTCTGTTTAATGAAGAATCCCTGGTTCCTGTCCCCCGTATAAATTACTTCTCCTACATATGGAACCATTCAGCTCTAACGTCTCAGTGAGAGGGTCTTCTACTAATGAGACATCTCTCTTTTGTTTTCCACAGCAATTTTGCAGGCAGTAATAACTGGTGACCTTATGAAGGTAAGCTCTTCTCCTACCACAATGTTGGTGATTGCCTCTCCAGATTTTCATGATCCAGTCTATAAACTACTTCCCTTGCCTGCACTGGCTGAGGAGAAGGAGGAATGAACAGAGAGAGTGAGGAGAGCACTCACCACGTTCTGCATCTCCTAACAGCAAAGGAGTGTGGTAGAATTCCCTGGACTTGCCTTGGTTCCTTAAAAAAAAGAATTGTATTCCCAGGATGCAATGCTCATCGTGCCTAGAATCCCTGCTATCTAAGACTAACCTTTGAAGAATCTGAAGGCTTCTTTTTCAGATGTGTCTGTGAATGAATACATACATAAGAATGGCCTGAGTAAGACCTAGAAATGCATGAACCAGCTCAGAGCTTGCACCTGTTGATATACTCATCTGCTTTAGAAGTCACAGCTGACTAAAAAAAGGCAGGCTAGTCCATCTGGGGCATTTCAACTTGTGCTTGTATTTTCTGGTGAATTTGGTTCACAAGGAAGGAAATGGTCACCATCTCCTTGAGAGCAAATGTCAGTTCTGAAGGTAGATTGCCTGACTTAAGATCTTGCCCCTGTCATTCACTCTATGTGTGGTTTTATGCCTTTAGCACATTTTCTCGGTGCCTTGATTTCTTTATCTGTAAAACAGGATAACAGTGTTATTTCTTTCTTGGTTTGTTGTAAGACTGGATGTAATCATATGATAAGGCTGCCAATACTGTTCATGTTGCATAGAAAGATGCCTGAAATATTAGCTGGCTTAGTCTTGCTATATAAATTTTTTCTAACAACATAGTAATTAAAAATATTTGTCATGATGTATTCTGTGAGTATTCTAAAAGATCTAACTGTTCTTGGGTTATTTATCTGGGGGCTCATGACTACCTATGAGTCTCTGTGTTACTCCAGCAGTGCTAGTGTGTTGGCACTGGAATGGCACTGACTGCCTCTGAAGGGGTGTCTTAGTTTGCATTTTTATTGCTGTGGAGAGGCACCATGACCACAGCAACTCCTATAAAGTAAAACATTTAATTGGGGTGGTGGCTTACAGTTCAGAGGTTCAGTCCCTTATCATCATAGTGGGGAGCATGGCACCATGCAGGCAGACATGGTGCTGGACCTGAGAGTGCTACATCTTGTAGGCAACAGGAAGTTGACTGACTGATACACTGAGGGAAGCTTGAGAAAAGAGACCTCAAAACCCGCCCCCACAGTGACATACTTTCTCCAACAAGGTCACACCTAATAGTGCCACTCCCTTTGTGGGCCATTTTCTTTCAGACCACCACAGTGGGGGATGTACCTTTCCCATCAGCCCATGTACAGTACAGGCTGAGAAACCAGTCTGTAAAAGGAAGCTGAGAATTACTAACTTTTTCCTCTTCTCTTTTCCCTGTCTAGTGTGTTCCCCTTTCTCTTTCCTCTTCCTCTTCCTTTCCTTTTCTTCTTTCCTTACTGTTTTGAAGCATACCCATTGAACAAACCAAAGTATGTCTGTTCTATATTTTCTGCACACCACTAGCAGAAAGCAAAATGAGAGAGAGAGAGGGTTGCCTACATATGGGCCAATTGCAGGCTCATTCATATGATTCTGGCCATGTTGTCTGTTCTGTTTTCTGTGGTGATATATTGTGTCTCCCAATATATTGTGTACCCTAATAAACTTATCTGGGGATCAGTGGACAGAACCAGTCACTAGATTAGACATAGAGGCCAAACAGTGATAGCACACACCTTTAATTCCAGCACTTGAGATCTCATGCCTTTGCTTGGAAAGCACACACACCTTTAATCCCAGGAAGTGATGGCAGGAAGCAGAAAAGTATATAAGGCATGAGGACCAGGAACTAGAGGCTTTTAGCAGCAGTTCAGCTGAGACCCTCAAAGATGAGGACTCAGAGGCTTTCAATCTGAGGATTTGTGGAAACAGGATCAGCTGAGGAGTTGGTGAGGTGAGGTTGGCTGTGGCTTGTTCTGCTTCTCTGTTCTTTCAGCTTTCACCCCAATTTATGTTACAGTTTTCCACTGTAACATTTCCATTTCCAGAGGAATGTTGCCCAGAGAAGAAGTGTCACCCCTAAACAGGATTCTTGGAAGTTCATGGTCATTGCCCTTTAGTGGGCTAGCCAGCACCAGTATACAATCCTGCAAGGACTTACTTACCTTGGATTCTGTGGAAAGCAAGAACAAGCCTGCCCTTGGACACTTCTAATCCAGTTCGCAATCTGAAGCTCTTTCCTTATGCTTTTATTATAGGCAAACAACTCCCCAGATCCTAGATGTATTGCTACACATTAAAAAATACAGAGAATTTACAGAGAATTGCTTAAAATACAAGCAATCACTGTATCTGTCTGGTTATCCTGGCACAATCTACATTATAATTATTTCCTAAATGTCTGAGGAGTGACTCGGTAATACTTTATTTACTATGAAATGAAATACAGACAATGAAGAGCTTTCTTTTTCAATCATTTCTCTTTGTGTGTGTGTGTGTGTGTGTGTGTGTGTGTGTTTATCTCTCATCTTCTCAATTTTCTTTTACTTCCCTCATGTGAAGAATGCACAATACATATGAAACAGGGAGAGAGAGAGAGAGAGAGAGAGAGAGAGAGAGAGAGAGAGAGAGAGAGAGAGAGAGAAAAGAGCAGACTCCGGGGCTCCCATGAGGTGGGGATACGTAACAATTTAATAACTTAAATTGCTAATGGGCTGACTTTTAGTCATAGTATGCAGCCTTCCCCAAAGGCAAGTTCAGCACAGCTGATCCCTACTTGGCCTGGGTAGGTCTGTACTGCCATCCTCACTGGATCTGCCCACAAAGAAACAGTATCATCACAAGAGACTGTGGCAGAGCACAGCAAGATTCTCCTTTGGATCTCCATGCTGCTTCCTCCTGTTCTCTTGCCCTAAAGTTTGGGGGTACAACTTCCCTTAGCTCCCAACCTTCCGACACCTCAGATAAGCCCCCTTTCTTGATCGAATTTCTAGATACTTTTCCCTGGTTCCTTCCCAAAACTCTGCTTATTTCCCTGGCGTCCCTCTGCTGGCCTCATACCATCTCTCCCTGCAATCAACAGTTCTGTTTTTCCTGTGGAATTTGGATGCCTGCGAGGCTGGTGACTGAGTCATATTGTTGTTGCTTATGTGTTAGTATTCTTGAGACCTGCTCTGGTGATAGATTCTTCTTTGTCTTCAAATAATCTATGAGAAGCTTCACCAAGGCTCCTCTTGTCCTGACATTCCAAGGTTTGGAAAACAGTGACACATTTATACTTTGTAGAATATCCAATACTTCATGAACTGGGTCTGCATCTTCATTTGCCCACCCTACTCGCGCTGGTGGCTAAATTCTTGGCTTCTACCACCGGCTGTTGGCTATTGGTGAAATTATTAAGGCCACTCCATGTAATTAAAAGGAAGATTTATTTAGTGGGTAATTTACAAATGAAGGAATAGGTAGGTCGTGGGGCCTGGGGAAGGTGTATCACAGACCAGTGGTGTTCTCTGGAGCTCTGCTCAGTCAACCTCCAGCGTCCAGGGTCCAGGAACAGAGAGAGAGCTGGCCCATCTGGATCTCAGGTCTCCAGGGTCCTCTCTTGGCCACGCCTTTTAGGCGTGACAGTTGCCGAAGCCTCAATGGGGGTTGGAACTTCCAGATCAAAGCTGGAATGGCTACCCACTACAGTTGGCTGTTCTCATATAGAAACAATGACCTTCACACATTTTGCTTCTCTTTATTACATGATCATCTCTAGCTGTGTTGCATATACACTGCCTGATTCACAAAAGGTATCAGGATGAAAAAAAAAAATGAACCTTCCCTCCGAGTGTGTGTGCATGCACACATGTGTGCACACAATATGTGTGTATGAGCACTGTGTGCAGGAAAATGAAGCATTTGGTGATTGTGTTCATGACATGTCAGAGAACAGCTAAAGATACAGGAAAGGATCGTAGAGAGCCAGAGCCAGGTTCTTCCTGCTGTAGCAAAAGCTGGATAAACCTCAGGAAATTTTAGTTTTCTTCTCAGAGTCTGGGGCTCCACAGAGGGGGAAGAAAGCCAGTTCAGCACATTCCTGCTTCCTTGAGCTATTTGATACCCTCAGACTTTTTCCGGAGTTATGTCAGGCATCGACCATCCATGTGAGTGATGAAGGGTTGGAGCTTCATCACTTCTCGCTGCATCCTCTGAGGCTAAAAGCATCTGTGGTTTACTAAGTGACTTTTCTGTGTGACCTTGGAGCTTTTATCCCCGTTCTGTATGCTGTTGCTGATATTCTTTTCTTGTGTCTCTTTCTTTCAGCTCATAGAAAGCTATAAGAACGGAGGCAGCTTGTTAATTCAGGGACCAGACCACTGTTCACTCCTTCACTACGCAGCTAAAACTGGCAATGGGGAGATTGTGAAGTACATCCTTGACCACGGTGAGTAGGCAATCTACCAGGGATCACTTCTCTCTGAGATTCTAGACAGCATCATCTGTACTGACACTCAACCAGGAGATCTTCACAATGGAATACCAATTGTCTCTCTGATACCCACTGATGCATCTGGGCCATCTTAACCAAGCAATTAAAATAAACCATTTTTATATCCAGATTTCAAAAGGGAAGGCTTTGGGGAAGTAATTAATTTAAAAATTTTAAAACAGCTTTTGAAAATTAGTGAATTGCTGGGAGCTGTGGTGAATGCCATCAACCTCAGTACCTAGGAGGCAGAGTCATGTGGAATACTATGAGTTTGAGGACAGCCTGGTCTACAGAGTGAGTGATAGGCCAGCCAAGGCTACACAGTAAGACCCTGTTTCAAAAATAAATGATTAGATACAATTAATTAATTTTAATTTTTTAAAAATTTGTATCTTTATTTTCATTGTACAAATGTTTTGCTTGCACATGTGCTTGTTTATCACGTGTGTGCCTGGTCCCTCTGGAGGTCAGAAGAAGGCACTGGAACAGGAGTTACAGGCAGTTGTGAACCACTGGGTGGGTGCTGGGATTTGAACCTCGTCCTCTGCAAGGGTAGCCAGTGCTCTTAACCACTGAGCCATCTCTCCAGCCCCTAACTTTATTTATTTATTTAATTGATTAAAATTTTTATTACCCAAATAAAGCCTGACATAGTTGTCTTTATTTTGCAGAACTTTGTATAAATTAACTTTTTGGGCTCAGCCGGGTCATCTATATCAGAAGGTTGATCCTTCTGCAGATTCTTATGTTTGCTCCACCCCATTTTTCTAGTGTCTTAGTTTTTGTTTTTTGGCTCTCATTTGTCTTTTCTCCCAGCTCACACTTCATTCTCTGGAAAAATTCATGCTGCCATGTCCCGTGTGGCTGCCTGGGCCTCACCTTCCAGACAGTGCACTAACTGCGCTTCTGGCTTGGTCTTAGATAATTCCGAAGATGGAGAGCTGATGGCTTAACATCTGCCTCTAGAGCCCAATGGAAACATTATTACACATAAGGAACAGAAACCACTCAGCTTCGCGTGTTTATGATGTGACTAGAAATAGAGAAGAGCAGGGGTTGGGGTAGAAGGAAAAATATGCCTCTCTTGGAGGCATTTCAGGGTAAATAAGTGAGAGTCTGTCTGTGAGACCCGGGTCCACAGAAAGCCTAGGCAACTTTCTTGGAGCATTGATGCTGAGCCTGCTTCCTTTGCACACCCGCCAAGCCATCTCTCCAGCCCTTCAAGCTCCCTTCCTCTGCACAGGCATGCAGGCTGCAGACAGTGAGTAGATTAACGAGTACTCACATCCCTTTGCTTTCCTTTTATGCAACTGGGGACATTTACGTTTTTCTACTCGTTCTTTCCCCCCTTCCTTTATTCTTTCAACAAATCCACGTGGAATCCCTGCTATAGGCTGACACGCTCAAATGTGCACTCAACAGAAAATACATTCAATATTTTCAAGCAATAGCAGGCTGAAAAAAAAACTACAATTAGTGTACAAATCAATTCATCACAGTTAAATGTGGATGTTTTAGGTCCTGCTATAAAGCCACACGCAGATAACACAGCTACCATTTTTCAATCTCGTATAATATGCCAAATGCCTGTACAGAACACACCACATAATTTTTTCTTTGCAAGGACCTTGTAAGGTAGATATTAGGCTGTCAGTCACTTGAGACTCCTTCCTTCGTCTTTCTCACGAAGAAAGAGTTTGCTTCAACTCTTGGCCAGAATTATGCTTAAAAGGATGGAAGGAAAGTCTGTGAAGGTAGAAAGGAGGGTGCTGGAGAATGGCTTTCCCCAGGAGACCGGGTAGTTCCACTCCCACCTGTCCTAGAAAGATGAACTGTGGTCTTGAGTTTGTTGTAGGCATCATTCATTCTGCTCCCCTATCATCTACCTGCTACACTTTAGGGAAAGACTTGCAAATTAAATCGTGGCATGATTTCTGCTGCACACATACGCCACAGGTTTATTCTGTTATACATGGTGATTTCTCAAAAAGACTGATGGGGAGCAGAAGCAAATTTTGGAATATTGCACATGGACACCAATTAAAGCCACACTCAGCTATGAGACTTCTTCCTTTTAAGAAAAGTCCTCAGGATTTGTACAAAGTTCAGAAGGTGGCCGTCTGATCTGAGGCAGCATCTTTCTACGCAGTCCTGACTATCCTGGAGTTCTCAGGACAGACTGGCCTCAAACTTGCAGCAATCTTCCCTCTTCTGTTTTCCAGGTACTGGGATTAGAAGTGTTGCCTGTCACTTCCAGCTAACCTGTGCATTTTCATATCATACACTATCTTTGCAGAACCATTTACCTCTCTGAAATGATGGGAAGCCCTCTTGGGCACAGTATCCTTGAGGTCAGGGAGAGATAAACGGAAAGCATTGCCCTGGGCATACTTTATCCTCAGTACTTCATGAACTCTCTGCAGACTAACATAATCTCTTCTGACTCGGTAGTACTGCAGAATAACAGAAATGTTTTCTTATGCTGAAAATGTCTTGACATTCTTGTATATGTGTGTATCAGCTTGGTTCAAGTCTCTCGGATGGCTTCAGATAATAGAAATCCCACAGGTTTTTCAAAAAGCTTGTTATGGGGATCCCACCAGGGGTGACCACTCAGACATAATTTAGAGCCAACTGAAAGTCTTTATTCCAGCTAGCTGGGACTACACCCAGGTATTTGGGACCTAAGTGTAGCCCCAAACATTTGGACCAATGGGACTTTTAAAGGCAAAAACCACATCTTAGCAACTGCAGCAAGAGGTTTGCACAGGCAAGCAGTTTAACAGAAGCTGAGATAAGTTAGCTGGGGTATCTTGGCCTCAGGTCCTAGAATAGAGTTGAGTAATTTTCCATGCGATTCTCCATCAAGGAGCTCAAATTCTAATTGAATCTGAAATGGCCTCAGCAAGAACACAAGATGGAGGGATCTGCACAGCTTGTTTGCCCTGTCATCTGACTGTACTCAGCCTTTGCTGACAGTGGTTATTAGGTACTGCTGGGCCCTTTTCACGGTACCTAAGTCGTATTCTGCATGGTCCCTTGAGTCGGTTCTCAGCTCACAGCATCCTTCTTGCCCTGAGCGTCACTGTGCTTTGTCCCTTCGTTGGGTGCTTAGGGAGAGGAGAGTGATTAACAATCAGGAGGACACTTTCTGATCCAGAGTCCCCAGAGATGAGTTATCTGAAGCACCAGCCATACCATTTCCTTCAAAGGGCTCTTTTAAGATGGCTGTGGGGTATGGGCTGGGACTGGGATGTGTCCTGAGAAAGCCATAGGAGGCACCTTCCTCTGTACTTCTCTCAGACGTGCAAAACACTGCTTTCTTTTAGAGGGAAAACAAAAAGCTGGAATCTGGGCATTTCAAGGCCTGAAAAGCCAATGGGAGGAGGAAGAGTGGAAACAATTCCAGAGACAGGGCAGAGGCTGTGGATCCAGGGGCTCCAGCAGGGACTCTCAGTGGTTCCTACCTTTCAGCTCCTTTCAACCATCATTTTTACTGGCTGCCTCCCCCTACTTAGCCCCTCCAAGACTTTTGTGTGGTTTTCTCCCTTTGCTACCCAGAGCATTTTGTTCTTTTGTCTTTCTTCTCCCGGTGCCCACCCCGCTGCCCCCTACTGTTTCCTCAGATAGAAACTGCACTCATGCATTTCCTTTTTATTTCAATGGTTATTTTGTCTTCTCTCTTTTTTCTGACCCCAGTCTTTCTTTTCTGTTTTTTTTTTAACCCCCACTTTTTTTTTCTGCCTCTGGTCCCAGAGAGAAAGGACTACCATCCCGCTGAGACAGGATGACAGTGCTGTTAGCATTCCCAGTGCCAGCTCGATCCACATCTGTGCAGCCTTTGTCCTGCGGCAGGGGAGGATTTGGAATGGTCTGCTGGCAGCGTCAGGGAGACTGATGGGAAAAGAGGTCCTGGGAGGAAGTCTGGGGCAATGGAAGGAACAGCAGAGAGGATTTGGAGGCATTGGTAGGAGGCAAATTAAAGAATGCACGTTATAAAAGGCCCATCATCTAGAATGCATATGCAGTGCAGACGATGAGGTCACTGGAGCAGGAACTGGAGTGGCCAGTGTAAGAGCTCACAGATGTAGTGCTGGGCAGCAGAACTTCAGAAAGTTCCAGTCCTTACCACAACATTCACATTCTCACTTTGAAAGATTTGTGACATTTTGCTGCATTCTGCATTCCCTATATTTTAGTCTGAATTGTACCTGTGATGGGTTGAATATACAGTGTTCTTCACAGGCTCGTGCAATTTTTCACCTCTGTGAACATGTGGTCTGCAGTTGGTGCTGGTGTTTTGAGCAACTGTTAACCTTAGGAGGTAGAAGAGGTGAGGCTTGACGGTGAAAGGTCAGCCTTGTTCAGCTAAAGCTCTCTGCTTTCCGGCTGGTTCTATGGAATACACACCTGCCGCATCTTTCATCACCCTGGACCATGTTACCACCGTGCCTTCTCTGCCATGATGGTCTGTTCTCTTTGAAATGTGAGCCCATACATTGGTCCTCTCCTCCTTTGCTTCTGTTATGTATTTTGCCACAGAGACATGAAAAGAAACTAACGCTGTTCCTCAATTTTCAGATGTTTCCCTGTATCCTGCAACTTTTTGAATCCATGTTTCAGCTATGGGTCTTTCTCTGAAGGAAAAAAGAAAAACACCTAAAAATGATATTTGGGTTTCAGATGCTTTTGAAAATTTTTTTATAATTATTGACCCATTGTTGCTAAAATGTATTGTCTAGATGTTAAGTTTAAATTCTTACAATTCTACACAGTAAACTCTCTTATCTCCATTGGACAAGGAGTTAAACCTGAGGCACTATGAGGTGCCCAAACTCATGCACATGTATGATGTATGATACAGTTTCTGCCCCCCGCCCCCCATTCAAGGGGATATGAACACAGGCATGGGTAAGAAGCCACAAGACATGGCAGCTGCATACTAGTGTCCTCTGTTAAGTTCCAGTGAGAACATGCATAGGATTCTGGAAGAAAGGTGAAGATTTCATAGAGAAATTTGCACCCTAGTCCTTCAATAAAGACTTCAAAACACTTATTTTCTGGTGCAGGGAAGCTGTGTGAGAGAGTAAACCCTCGAGATACAAGGATTCTGTGTTAAGTACTTTTCTGTTGCTGTGATAAAAACCTTGACCAAAGCAAAGAATTTTGAGGCTTCCAGTTTTAGGTTGGAGTCCATCAGAGGTGAAATGCAGAAGCCATGGTGGCTGGTAGAAGGAGCTGAGAGCCCATGTCTTCAACTGTAGGCATGAAGCAGAGAGGACAAACTGGAAGTGGCAGACGCTTATTAAATCTCCAGGTCTGCCCTCAGTGACTTCTTCAGTAAATCTGTACCACCTGAACCTACCCAAACATCACCACCAATTGAGGACCAGGTGCTCAAATGCCTGAGACTATGGGGGGGGGCATTCTCATTCACACCACCCCAGAGTCCTTCTGTTTAGGGGAAGAACTGTGAATTGTCTGTTGACAGTTCAGTGTTCTTATTTCAAATTCCATGGGGAAAAGAGTACAGCATGCATAATGGGGATATTCATCCATCTATCTATCTATCTATCTATCTATCTATCTATCTATCTATCTATCTATCTATCTATCATCTATCTATCTATTTATCATCTGTCTATCTATCTCTACTATCTATATCTTCTATCTATCTATCTATCTATCTATCTATCTATCTATCTATCTATCTATCTATCTATCTAAGTCCAACTCTGAACCATTGACACACGTTAAAAAAATACAGTTCTGTTGACTTTTTATCGTCTTTCTTTTTTCCTTTATTAGTGAGACTCAGATCAACAAAAAATATTAGGTGCTATATTTTAAAATTCACTTTATCTTTTAAAAGAATTTGGTGTGGGTTTTGTTGATTATTTTGATCATTTTAGCTACCCATTCTCCAAGCTGCACACTGAGGTTACTAAATAGGTCAGCACAGTGTTAAACAAAGCATATCTCCCATAGGCCAGCACAGTACAAACCAGGAGGGAATGATGGCTTGAATTCAGATGCATTTGGCATTAACTCTTCTGGTGTCTTTGCCATGCAAACATAATCCTTAGGGCAATGGTTCTCAACTTTCTCAGTGCTGACACTTTCATACCGTTCCTCTTGTCATAGTGACCCACAACCATAAAATTACTTCATCGCTACTTCCTAACTGTAATTTTGCTACTGCTAGGAATCATAACGTAAGTGTGTGATAGGCAGGATATCTGATATGTGATCTCTGAAGGGGTTGTGACCCACAGGTTGAGAAGCACTGCTTTAAGAGCTGGTTCTGAAAATGACAAGTAAATGTGCCAGCACTCTTTTTCCCCCTCTCATACATTGCATCCTGACTGCATTTTCCCCTCCCTCCACTCCCTCTGCCCCCCTGAACCTCTCCTCTCCCCCAGATGCACTCCTCCTCCATTTCCCTTAAAAAAAAAAGCAGCCCTCCCAGAGATATCAACTGAATATAACAAATTACAACAAGACTAGGCACAAACCCTCATATCAAGGCTGGGTGAGGCAACCCAGTAGGAGGAAAAAGGTCCCAAGGCCCTGGCCCCTTAAACACAGCTCCCTACTCCCACCTGGCATGATCTGGCTACTGCCCTTCCCTCTCCTTCATTGACTATTTGCTTGCCAGTGTTTGAAAAATTCTTCAATCATTCAGCTGTCTATTTGATGGAGGATCGGGGACATTAGGTTAATTGTATCAATCACTTTCCAGTCCTTCACTGAAGTGGAGTCCCTTTAGATAGGATTTAAGAGCACACATGCCAGCTTCCAGCATTGGTGGCTTTTCTTCTTACCTCTGCCAGCTGCAGTGGACTGAAGGAACAGCTGAGGAACCCTGAGTAGCCAGAGGCATACCCAAATCAGACTGGATAAGCATTGTGGCATAACTCAGGGCTCCAGTTGTGGTGCTCCAGGTCAGCACTGTGAGGAACAAAGTCTTTTTCCTTTTCTTCATCTTTACCTTGTCAAACTGTTACTGTCTTAGCCCAATCAAAATGCTGCAAGAGCTCCTTACCAGCACAGAGCCGTAGACCCAGCAAGTCTTGGGACTCACTGAAGAGCCTTAGGATTCTGAAGATCAGGAAAGAGTAAAGGAGAAGATGCTGTAAGGCCTTTGTTGCCATAGTCACTGTGCAGAGAGCAGCAGTGATGGGAATACAGCTGCCAGGTGAAGCTGTGCTGCTGTGCTCCTGGAAGAGCTCTCTAAGTAAATGGCTTAAAAGGCTCTCTGAAGATAGCAGGGTCTCTTTAGGTAGAGCTTCAGGTGCCGTGATGCTCTTGCTCCTGATCCTGTTGAGGCTCTCCTCTCAGAAACTGAACAATTGAACAAGCCTGGAGTGCGTGGATCTCTAGAATTTGAGTCAACAAGTGGCTTAAAATCAAGAGGGAGTTATCGGCCCTTTTATGTCACCTTCCTTCACTGATGTCACAGTGTTTTGACTTAATATGGTCAGCTACCATGTGCCCAAAAGCACTACAGTTGTTACTCTACATTTTATGAAGTACTTATGGGGTACCAGGCACTGTTGCTAAACAGATTTTATTGACTCATGGAAACTCAAGGTGGAAGGTAAATGTCACCATTAATTGATCCATATAATTATTGATATAAAATTTATAACAATAATGTGATTCTTACATTTCAGAGATTTAGAATAATTCACTTAAGGAAGCAAGACATATATTTGAAAAGCAAATATGTACCATAGGGTGGAATCTGTGAGCATCATCAGATTTAGAGAAGGGTTAAATTTCTTTTGTCAGATGTCTCTTTGGAGGACCTTGCCACAGTTGGGCTTTGAGGAAGGCTATCATGGATAGGGAGATTGGGAGACAGGCTCTTAGAGTGGGGGAAAGCTTGAGAAATACTAGTGAGGTAGGCCATCACTAGTTTAGCTTAGGTGAAAAGGTATAACCTTACCAACACATTAAGGAGAGGGAGTTCCATGAGGAAGGCCTTGAACATCATCTGAACATTTGAGAATAAGTACCAGATGGGATGTATGGAAACTTAGTGATATGTAACAGTCTCTTTAGCAATAGTTTCTACATGCTAGCTGCATTTCACACAAAGATTCAAGGTGACTTAGCTCTTGGATGACCAGGAGTGTCACAAAGGTTCTAGAATATCTCAACCATCTCCCTGCTAATGGCAATCATGGTTGGAAACTTGCACCCTCTTCATTTCCTTTCACATTATACATAACGAATAATTTTCAGGGATAATGCTCTCCACCAACACAGGTCACAAATCACAAGGATCATGTCTCTCAAGAGTAAACTGTTTAGTGCCAGAACCATGTTTGGCCCTCTGAAGCAGGTTTACTCATCAATTCAGTCAAACATTTAAGCATTTGCTTGGGACTGGATTCTATGCTCAGTACCAAAGGAAGACACAGTGGTGGAAAAAGCATAGGACGAAACTCAGAGGTTTATTAGAGTCCCAAGGGACAGAAATACAACTAAGCTGGTGACATGAAAGTAGCTTGACAAGTGTCATGTTGAATAATGTGACCAGCAGTCTCTACTTGGCTAGGATAGGTGATAATTTATAGTATCTAAGTATGACAAATAGGACCAACACCAAAAGGGTAGGTGTCATGGAGGTAGGGAGTAGTGTGAACTCAGAGGGAGCTCTGAGGAAGAAATGTGTCTAGCTGATACCTTCAGAGTAAATAGGGTGAAGAATTTCATGGAAGGAAGTAGTGATCAGGAGATAGAATGGTGAAAATCCCAAACAATGTTTGTAGAAGAAATTAATTAATTAGTAAGCAGACATTGAGAAAGAGAAAGGCCAACTCATTGTATGTTTATATTATAACACTTGGAAGAAATATCACGCAATGGTGCATCTGTAATAATCTGACATGTATGCATGGCAGTTATTCATTCCATTTTGACAATGAAAAATTTCAAAAAGTGGACTTTTTATCCTATCTCCAAAACATGTGTAATAGATGATGTATGTGTGTCTTTACTTTTTTCAATGTACTATAGAAGGCCCCTTTCTGTAGCTGGAGAATGAAAAAGACCCAAAGCCATTCAGTTGGCCCTTTCTCTCTACTGAGACAATTAGTTTTTAGTTATTCTATCCCAAATTAATTTCATTTTTTCAACTTCATTGAGAAATAATCTCCCTTTTCAATGTGTATGTGTGTGTGTGTGTGTGTATGTGTGTGTGTATGTGTGTGTGTGTCTGTCATGTGCATGGTGGATCCACACATGCATGGTGGGTACAGTCACTCACCTGGACAGAAGAGGAAGGTGTCAGGTGTCCTTCTCTACAGCTCTCTGTATTGTTTCCTTGAGGCAGGGTCTCACACTGAACTTGGCTATGCTGGCTGGCCGTGGAGGTCCTGGGATCTACTTTTCTCTGCTCACCTATGCTGAGGTTCCAGGCACAGAGGGCCATGCCCAGCTTTATAAAAATTTGAGTGCTGGAGTTTTGAACTCAGGTCCCCCTGTTTTCATAGCAGGTGTTCTCATCCACTGAGCCATCTGTGTGTGTGTTGACTGGTGGAGTTTGGGTAACTGGTGATAAAGAATCCTCTTACCCCTACTTTGTCTTATTATTAACCTTGTCACCAAATTTATCTCTCCAGTTCACCTTTCCTCATCATTTAAATTATTCACCTATAGATTTTCTGTCAACAGTTAGTCTTATAATATTTTAAAACATCTTGCTTTTTTTTGTCACTGTTGTTTAGGACCTGCAGAATTATTGGATATGGCAGACAGTGAAACGTGAGTGTTGCCTTTCATTATATAATCTGAACAGTTGTATTCAAAGCATATCTAGTCTATGAGGCATATCAGTTTTAATTTTATTGATTAAACACCCACTTTAAACTGTATTAATGGTTGTGCAGAGGTAATCTGCTTCATAAAACATCACAACAAAACCCAATAATTTGTATTGTGATGATTATATACATAGTCAGTGCTATCATTATCATTACCTATCATCCTACCAGCAAGATACTTTTAAAATGGTACTTGGATTGCTGACAATAAATAAATACATGTATAGTTATCTCCACCATATGCAACATTTTTTTTCTCATCTGGGATTTGTGAGAAAATGATGAATCCATGCCTTAAGACATCTGCGGCATGTAATGGCACAACTTCTGTTAGTCAGTCTGTGATGGAACAAGTTGTATACCACCCCTGGAGAACTGGAAATGTAGTTACTCAAACAATTATAAGCCCTGGGATGGTCCCTACACTGAAAATGTTTGTTTTCATCTTTCTTATTCTTCTGGCATCCAAATAGCTACTTTTTCACTAACAGGAATAAGAAAAAGATGAATAATTAACTCGGAAAGCCATATGGGGACCACCGGGGATTTTCAAAGAGGTCAAACAAAGGATAAAGATGAGCGATGAGCGAGCGGGTTTAGAGAGGAATGAGCTAGTGATCAGGGGGTAGACATGGGAAATGGGGTAGAGGGCAAGTGAGAAGGGATAGAACTATGAGCTGCTGGTCACAGAAACAAGCCACTCATCCTTAGAGATGGCATGTTGGCATGGTTGTAAGTGGGGCCACCATTCATCCTGGTTTGGCCTCTTTGTGGTGACACTTGACTTTTCCTGAAACATATTGGCATTAAACATCTTTATACCTTGGAACTCAGAATGGCAGTACCTCCTTCACCTGTTTTACCTAACAGACAGATGGGGGCCTGTCTGCTTTTCCTCCTCCTCCCCCCAACACACACACTGAGGGCTGGTCTCAGGCATGTTGTGTACTTGGGAGGATTTGGGCCTGTGAATTTTGCTGGAGTCTTCTAGAGCCTCTCAGATATCCTTCCCCTTGATAGATGTAATCCAATATTGGCTGATTAGCAAGGGAAGAAGTCAGCCTGGCTCTTCAAAGTTGAATTCTCAGGATAGACTCATAAAGGTCAGAATGGCTTCTACCACGTTGGAAGGGCAGGACTGTGTGAGCTCCATGGAGCTCAATTCATGCTCTGCCTTAAGAGTTTGGACATATCTGCACAATTTTACTCAGTATCTTTCAGTGTGTCCTAAATCCAATAGTTGTAGTTATTTTTAAAAAAAATTATTACCAAGCCACATCCAGTTTAGACAAGTGGTTAAAGTTAGATATTAGGTCTGTTAATGAGTAACTTGAGGAATTTGCAGACACCCTAAGCCACCTCCCTAGCGTGCACGTATTCTGCTGGCCTAGGCCTCAGCTTCTCACCGTGGAGGAGGCTAAGGAGCACACAGTGTCAGCAACTGGGCAGGCTCAGCCCCTCCACCCTTCTGCTGCCTCCATCACCTCATCTGTCTCCAACCCTTGCCTGGTTTCTTAATCTTTGATTTAGGGGCGAGACCGCACTGCACAAGGCCGCCTGCCAACGGAACCGGGCCGTGTGCCAGCTTCTGGTGGACGCAGGAGCATCGCTGAGACAGACAGACTCCAAGGTAACAGGATGAGTGAGTGCAAGCATCCTCCCACTGTGAGAGATTGCAGGCACTGTGGCCTCCACTTGTGCCCGCAGCACAAGCATCCTTTCTGTGCTCATGGAAGGGCCTGGAGCTTTGGGAAAAGGAGGAAAAAATAGAGTGCTTCATTTAGAGAAACTGCAGTTTAAATGAAGAAGCACAAAGGGAGGGTGTGCGTTTGCCTGGGTACTTTATAAACCTCTATACATGCTAAAGGAAGACATGGGACTCGAGGTGTTCTCATGAAACACCAGCAGGCAAGGAATGGGCAAGTGAGACTCACAGCCAGATGATAGGGATGAGGTGGAGTGCATGTCCTAGCCTGCCTACTAGGAAGTATGTTTAGGGTTCCTCTTCAGCACCAAATCTAATCTAATTTAAAGTCTATGATTTGTGTTGCTCCATGCATGGGTACCAAAGGTGATTTGCCTGCTGGCTGACTCCCCAGGTGGTGGGACTTCACTTTGAGATGGTAACAGTTGTAACCTTGGTATATCCACACCACTCTGTATCTGTCTATTTAATTTTAAGTGCATGTGTATATGTTTATGTGTGTGAATATATGGATATGCACCATGTGTTCTAGAGTCTATTGAGGCCCAAAGAGGTGTCAGATTCTCTGGAACTGGAGTTCCAGATGGTTGTGATTCTCCAAATGGGTGCTGGGAATTGAACCTGGGACCTCTGCAAGAGTACTAAGTACTCTTAGGTGCTGAGCCATCTTTCCAACCCCAGTTACCTTTAATTTTTCAAAGTCTTTCTATGGTTTTTTTTTTTTTTTTTTTACAATATTCCCTAAATGTCAACCATAGAAACTAGCATGAAAAACACTATTATTGACAGAGATGGGAGCAGAAAGCCAGAAGAAGAATAGCTGTAGCACTATTAACTCTGTTGACTTGTAGCCTGATACCGTCTGAGCCACTCAGCCCTCCTCATCTGGGACAGAATATCCCACCACCTCAGTAGGACATGTGACAATAAAAAGTAACAGAGTTCACTGCCCTGTATCACTTCAATAGCCCAGATTTTCACCTGACAATGATACTTATATCAATGAGGCTTGAGTCGTGATTACACTCTTAGGTTAGGTTCTGAATCTGCAGAGTATGTAAGCATATTAAAATGGTCTTGAGGCCAGAGGTTGTTGGTAGAGTGTGTAAGCCATCTTGATCAGCAAGAGGTCATAGATGGAGGGAGGGCACCAGGAAGAATCTAGGAGGGACAGTTCTGGTGCCATCCTCAGAAGATTTAATTCCCAGAGAACCACCAAGAGACAGTTGATGAATGGAGTATGGGGGTCTTGTAACTCAGGGGATTTGACCAAGGGCAGAGACAGAAACAGGACCAGAGACAGGCAGGCAGGCTGGCAGACAGACACACACACACAGAGGAGGGAGAAAGAGAGAGAGAGACGACAGAGAGACAAAGAGAGAGAGAGAGAGAGAGGGAGGGGGAGGGGGGAGGGAGGGAGACTATCAATCATAGGAGTCCATCTTCTGTTCTGATAGGCACTTGGAGTTTTGAAGGACTTGGAGCAGACAGTAAAGAAAGGACTACCACTAACTGTATCTCTGTGTTTCAAAGAGGAGTTTTAAAGTGTGGGCGAGGCTTTCATTAAATAGGAACCGGTTTGAGCCGGTATCTGTAGCTGTGGCACACACACATAGAACTTGGAAGCCTGATCATTGGAGTTGCAAACTCCATTAGATTTGGTTAAATGATCAAAATCTGCATATGTACAGTTTGGGCCCTGGGCCTTTCTTAAAAGATGGTGAACCCTGTGAGCTAAGTTGCCTTATGAATGGACCTCTTCTCATTCACTTCTGAGCCAGCTACACGACATGGAATTCCCTGGCACCCTTTGCGCCCCTGCTTCTCCCCGGGTTCACCAGACACACCGGATCTGGGTGTCTAGATAATCTGTTACCTGCTTAGCTAAGCAGACAACACATTTCAAATGACAGATAAATGCTTCATGTGGCATCCTTCCAGGATGAAGGTTCACCGAGATATTTCAGTGTTTCACTGAATCCAGAAATTCATACTTTGTAGGCAGGAGTAGTCCGGGCCATACTGGGAGAACTGGCTTGGCGAAGGCAGTTCAGACCACAGTATGGTTGCTGCCCATTTGTCACACAAAGGCTGGTCCTGTACACCATTCAGATACCAAAAACAAAGGGAAGAGACATAAGAAACAGAGAAACAAACTGAAACTCATGAGGTCTCCAAGTTTCTTAGACAAATGGACTCAAGGTATTTGAGACTTCTTCCTATTTTGAAGAAGTATATAAGTGCATTCTTTTTTTTCAAAATATAAATAACTCTGATTTTTTATGATCATACACAGAAAACTAGAAATACAGAAAAGCACACAAGAAAAGCAAAAGTCACTTGAAATCCTCTCCCTTAGGCCAAAATTTGATTAAAATTTAATCTCTATTTACATGTAGTTATGTCTGCTTGGATCTTATGTTTAAACTCAGTTGGAGTCATACCATGCTACTGAACACCCTAACCTTTCATTCAAAATCGTGTTCTATAGATCTTACCACATAGTAATATAGCTGTGCTTCATTCCTTTTTCAGAATCCTTTAATCTTACCATTTCTGTAACACGGTGCTAGATCAAAGCTGAACATACCTGCGAATGCAGCTTCTCTTGGAATTTTTAGTATAGAAGCAATATCCCTGGAGATTTTTCTTAGCAAAGAACTCACTGCCGGTCCACTCAGGTCCACTTCCCCCTACGTTTTTATGTTTGGAAGGTAGGGATGTCAGCTTCATTATTATCAAAGTGAAGGCAAGGTGCTATACTGTATTTGTGTAAACATGTTATAGGAACTTTACGCTAACAATTTAGTACAAGGTGTAAACTAAATGAGTGAACTTTTAGGAAGATGGGTGTTGAAACCAGCCAAGGAAGTACCTTCTAGCTGATTTGTGAGTTAGCACTCTTCCTTCCAGCCTCTGCGACGTAGTTCCCAGTGTTTAGTGAAAAGGAACCCCGAACTATTTCCATCCTAAAATAGAATCCCCATTTCATTCAGTGTTTCCCCTGTCTCCTCCTGAAAAGCACTAGGCTTTCAAACTCACAGCACATAGTTTCTCCCCACCATCTTGGGGAGACTCCATGACTTCCTGTTTTACTGAGATGCATCCTCTGCCATCGTCCTTTCATTTACCAGCACACATTTATATGACCCTGATTACAGAAGCAAATAGATGGGAAAGCATCTTGTAAACTCTGAAACATCAATCATGGAGGGATTCTGTGTAGTGACTCATCATTGGCTACCCCGTGTCTGTTATGTACGGATATCATCTCACTCCAACTGTTTGTTTTTCTTCTGTTACCTACAGGGAAAGACACCCCAAGAACGAGCACAGCAGGCTGGGGACCCAGATTTGGCTGCTTATCTAGAAAGCCGACAGAACTATAAGATCATTGGTCATGAGGACTTGGAGACTGCTGTTTGACCCTGGTTGACAGGCAAAAAGAACTCAAGCAAAGGGTATCATCTACACCCTCCTGGCCACTGGGCGGCTCCCCTGGAAGAAGCTAATGGAATCCATATCCGCCTCTCTCCTGCAAGGATCTATCTGAGACCACACTACCAGGTTTTAAGGGCTACCGGGATGTACAACAGGACATGATAGCCCATTGAGAAAGAGGCAGGCTACCTGGAGATTTGTGGAGTACACGTTCCACAAAATTTGATCCTTATTGCTTCCAGCAAGTAGCATGAACTTCTGTGTTCACCTGTCTAATTTATTTTAAAGATGCCGAGGATGTTCACATAAATGGCACTGCTCCCTCCTCCCTCTCTGCATTCATCTTTCCCCTGTACCACAGAATTCTACTGTAATCCCCCATCCATTTAGAAAATATACTATCTCTTCTCTTTACTTTCAGTCTTCCAACCACAAGGTTGTCTGAAGGTCCCTGAAACCCTCCTGGATGTCTTGCAGAAACATATCTGTAAAACCACTTCCATTTGCAGACTAAATATACCAAGACTAGTTAGTGGCTTTGCATGCCCCCTCCCCGTCTGGTTTCATCACATAGGAGCCGGGAAAGTGCCATGGGGGTAATGTCAACTTGTGTGCTCTGTCTCTGAGGTATGGTGAAGTAGTATGGGAGCTGTCTGTGCTTGAAGTACTTCAGAAGGTTACCCAGGGGTCAGCGCAGGCAGCTGTGCTGTTGGTGGTAGGAAGGACTGGTTCAGCTTGGGCTGTTTGTACAGCTCGGTACTGCCTATGTGTAGCCATCTTTGCCTTCTGCTGCAGTAGAGATGAGTCAAGGAGTCAATGGAAGCCCAGAGCTAGTTTACAGAGCCATGTGATTCTAAGTGCTGTTTCAGTGACAGGGTTGGACCTGTCTAGGACAGTAGTATAGGAAAGGGAGCATTCAAATCCTAAGCTTTGTAAAGTGATACTAGAAAGCGGTCTGATTGACTTGAAAAAAATAGCAAAAATAAAAGTAGCAATGTGTGTTAAAACAATGTACTTCAGCAGGAAAACAGCCTCAGCATTTTGGGCTGAGGTTCACTACTACAGGCTCATGGATACAGTGGTGAAAGGGGGTTCACATTTGTTTCTCCAAAAGTTCAGTTTTCATGATGTCAAGGAAGGCTTGGGCCAAGGACAAAGCCTCATTTCACCAGTTCCGTGGTCAGACTCTCAGGATGCCTGGCCCTTCCTAGTCTGTGCTTCACCTATTTTTTTATTTATTTATTTTTTTTTTAGGATCTGAGATCATGTCTGATGACCCTATTTTCCACACATTTGGGGGGTCTATTAAGCTCTTTTCCCGGCTTTATTTTCTCCTGTCACAAACTTCTTAATATAAACCACTGTGACAGAAACGCTTTATGAAATTGTTACTTCTGTTCATGCTGTGGATCTGGAGGAATCAGGTAATAAAGAGGAGAAAAAAAAGCAAAACAATTTCTATTCAAACTTCTCCTTGACTTAGTTAGGTGTGGGTCACAAATACAAGTGGATGTGAGGGCTTTTCTTTCTGCTTCCTTCCATTTTTCCCTTGAACAAAGGAAAATGTTCCTCTGTGTTTCTGCATGTGACCTTTAATCTCACAGTCCAATGGGGACAATTCATTTATCAGAATCACATGTCATCATTTTGAAAGGTCGGATATGATGTACCATATTAAGTGTAAGCAAGCTTTGAGTAGGTAGGGATTCCATTACCAGAGACTCCCTATAGTCATTTCAAGATCAAACTTGGCATCGTTTCTAGCTGGGGGAAAGTGGGTTGGCTAAGAGTAATATGTTTCTAGTCATCCATCTCAGAACTGAAACTCTCTCTTGGATTTTACAGGGAGGGAAAGCAAAGGGTCTGGATGAGATTGTTTCCAGGAGCTGAAGTCACTGAGTTTCTGTTAGGAATTTTTCAGTTGTTGGGGCTGTCAAGGAAATATTGTGATGACAAATATAATCCCTAGAATGGACTGGAACCTGGCTTTGAATGGAAACTTCCATCTCTGAGATTGAGCCAAACCCTTGGCCAAGCAGTTGGTTATCCAGCTGGCCACTGCTGAGATGCAGGACTATATTTTCATCAACCACCATCTCACATTTCTGTGAGAATGCTTCAAAACAGCCCAGAGAAAATTTAGGATAGAGGTGGCTATGAGCCAGTGCCCAATGACTCCAAGACACAAATAAGTCCCTGGCGTGAAAGTAGATGCAGTATTGACTACTGTAAGGGTCCTGGTACATGTAGAAATTGCCCCCCCTTCCAAAAAAAGAAAAAAATAGATTCTGCATTATAGTTGAGGAACAATATACATGATCTGTCTCTGGAAAAAAACTTAGGGTTTCAAAAACAATGTGAGCAGAGAAGCTATAGATTTCATGATTTCAACATTAAGTCTACCTCCTGTAGGATTTTTTAAAAATTATTTGTTGTGGGTGATAGTTCTGAGCATTAGAAAGCTAAAGCCGTGTGGTCCAGGAGTGCCTGCTTACGTATATAGTGTCACATTTAGTGAGCCAACAGGAGGTACAGAAGAAAATGGTACAATCCTGGTCCTGCAAACTTTCTCAGACATAAAAATGGGTACCTGTAGAAAAAAAGTCTTTATGCATCCTGCTGGGGCTATGTTACAAGGAACAGCAAGCCTAGCTGACTCTCCTGTATCCAGTCCCTTGTGCTGTAGAACTGTCTTCTCTGGAATTCCTCCTTAAAGTGGGCTGGTAGAAGTATGAAAAATGAAGTGTTATTAAAAGACAGAACTCTGGAGCTGTAAAGGTAATCATTTTTGTAACCCTGTATTACACAGACCATGAAACATTAGCCCAAGCCTTGCCCTTACCACATTTACTAGTGCAACAGAGACCAGGAGAGGATTCCTTAGCCTAGAATGCTAAACAGGGTGACTGGGGATTTTTGCCTTGAGATTTCTGGTCACCTCCATAGAGGTGGTGATTGAAACCCAGTGGGAGTTCTAAAGCAGAATTCAGCTGCTGTGAAATTAGTAAGAAATGGTGGGAGGCCCCTGTGCCCTGCTGCTTCCTGTCTTCCCAGAAACTACCCAGGCAGATTTGTCTGGGTACTGAGATGCTCAACAGGGCATTTCTTTCTACTGGGACCTAGTAGAGATTCCTTTGCCTAATGGATCTCTGAAATGTATTTGATAGAATCCCTAGGATATTTATGTCTAAGAAAATGAAAGGTGGCGATTTCATTTAATCACATGGCAATGATATGAACACACATTTTAGTTATGGAAGTAGCACATGCATATAATAAAAGTTCTAACTCCACGGGAAGTACCACATGCAGCAGAAAGGCATCTTCTGTGCTGGTGTGTCTCAGCACCCAGCAAGAAACACTGTCAATGTGGACAATCATGATTGCTTGTATGTTATGTCAGAAATATATTGCTCATATACACACATACCTGTACATGTACACACATATCCATCCATCCATAAATAGAAATGTATTTATTTGTATACATATGGACATATATGCCATATACACATATTACATATGTTTAGAAGAAAAGACATTTTAAAAGCATGCAAACCATCTTTATGTGAATAGTTAACACTACTAGGTGATGATCGGTACAGTAACAGAATTTTCATCTAATTGTTATTTCATCCATTGGTGCGCTTGCTTCTATCCCTGTATCACTGTAGTTGCACACAGCATTGGTGATTGTCAGAGTCATAAATTCCATGACCAATGAGTCTTCTGATTATTTATATGTTGCCTTCCATGATGCATGAAACCAACATTAGCCCTGTGGCTTGTCTGCTTTTGGAAATCAAGGGAGTAAAGGAGAATTCTTTCTTCTCTGATCCCCTCCCTGCTTAAGCTGAGTTGATAAGATCAACACCCAGACTTTCTGATGCTGTTTAACTAGGGCAAGCTATTGTCAGGAAGGGGTAGATACTTGGGTGTGGTCTGGGGGTTGGAGCAGCTTGTCTTCCAGTAGGAGAAGCTAATTAAATCATTGAGCACAGCATGGTGTTTTATTCAGTTATGCTCTTGAAAAGTAAAAATAGATCTTTGTTAAAATGGCTCATCATAACCACCAACTAAGACTGCTAATTGTTCTATGCAACTAAATTATGTACGTGTTAGGAAAAGAAAGACCATGTATTAAATTAGCTATCTGAACACACTGTAATATGTATTTAGTATAAATTCCCTTCTGCCCACATCTCAGAAACACTGCCTTTCAATTTCTTGGTGCTTCTCAGCACTGAGCTCCACATTCAGCAGATAAAATATCCTTTTTCTATGCTCCAGCCATCGCCCATTTTCTGTCCCCCGGTTCTCTGGCTGTGCCAACATTTCTGGCACTACTGTCTATCACTTTGTTTCACAGCTGCTTAAATTTTCCCCAGATGTTGTGATTGAAATATATCAACATGAAATTTCCCTCTGGGGCAAGTACCTATGTTGCCCAAAGGTACGTATGTGCCCAGTGACCTCAGCCGTCTTATAGAATTATGACAAGTTGATTCTTAGAAGCAGTCTTTGAGGTTTAGTTTATTTTTTGTTCTAGTCACTTGAGAGGTCACAATTATAGATATTTCTTCCATTTCAAATGGTGTAAGTGACATGTACTTTTAACATCACCCAAAGAACAAGATTATATATGGGTTATACTCTTGAGGGCTATCTGTGTTTTTTTATTTTTATTTTTTTAGGTTGTTAATGCAGCTTAATGAGAAACCTAAAAACAGAAATAAGCAAAGGATACCACACTGGATAATCGACTCACGCAGAACATTGAAATTTGTTATTCTGGTCCCAGAGAGGAAACAAAATAATCATAAAGCTATTAAAACAAATACTTTACAATAGAAATTTGGATATTGGATGATGTGTTCCTCCAGGAAACACACACACACACACACACACACACACACACACACACACACACACACACACTCAATCAGCCTCATCCAATTGTATTTGCAAGTATTTCAACATTTCTTTCAAAATATCTATCACTCACTGTGATACAGACACCTCACTAAGAATATAGCTATATATGATTGCAAAAGATAAATGATTTCAAGGAAGTGGCAGACAAGGAACCAGAGACAAACTTAAGTAGTTTAAGTTGTGTAAATTGCATGTGTTTGGACTTGAGGGAACCTCAGCATGCCCTGAAAGTTTACCAGGATCTTTGTTATTTTTATTGCTCTTTGGCCAGTATATTTTAGTTCGGTGCAAGCAAATGCAATAGTATTATTTTGTATTTCCATTTCCCTGGAATCCTGGTAATATTCTTAAAAATATATTTGAAACATTGGCTTTAAGATGAAACTTAGAAACCCTACTTAAGTAAAGGCTAAGATTTATTTATACCAGCCCTCAAGAGCTAAACCAGGAATAATAAGCAGAATTTTCAGTGGGTTTTGATTAAATATAAAGAAGATGAAGTATGAGTTGCCAAATAGTGCAGTGGGCATCTGTACAGAGTTACAAACTTTCAACATCTGGAAACACTTAAATGAAGGGTATTTGACCATCTTTAGGCATGTCACAAGCAGGGATTTGTGATCTGAAGGGGCTGGAAATTAGATTGTTGATTTCTTTACATCACTTTGAAGATGGCTTTGTCTGATGGCAACATTTGATCTTAAAAATTAATGAGAACCTTGATTTCTTAATTAAAACATTTTATATACGAGGAACTTTAAAACCATGGAGGGGGTAGTCTTTAGTTCTCATTTTAAAAAAAATTAAAAAGTAAAACCAACTAAGCACAGATACAAGAACTCAAAAAAAATAAGGAGATAAAAATTCAGAATTCTTCTGAAAACATCTTAGGTGTTAATGAATATTTTTGGACATTCTCAAGTAAAGCCTTATTGGAAATCTGCCATTCTTCCAATATAAGAAAGCACTGTGATTTGAGATTCTTAGAGTTAACTGTAACCTAATCAGAAGGGAATTCTGCCCCAGGGACATTTAGGAGCTAAATAAATGTACATGAAAGGCATCATGGAGAATCCCTTGGCTTCTGGTACCAACCTGGTAATTGCAAGGGAGGAAATACAGAACAAAATGGTGGGATAGGTTTTCTCTCTGCTTCCAGTGTTCCAGTGTCTGGAGGCCAATGGTGTCTTAAGTTGGCTGCTTTTGGTAGTGGAAACAACTGGGACTCTCTTGTTTCTCAGCTCTTTACTGAGACACACACGTGGTTTACAGTATAAAGGAATTTAAACAACAATTCAAATATTGTTTACTAACAACTTCCATAAGATTTTTTTAAGTCAATGCTTTGATAGTTTGATGCATTTTGACACTTCTGAGCTTTGGTATCTAATACAATTCTATGAGGAAGATAATGCAGGTAAGATGTTCTAAACTAGGTTCCAGCACAGTGATCAACCTGCACAGTTCACACAGTGACAGGGTTCCCACCAGATAAGGGATCTGTTGAACATACCAACATGCCCCAAACAGATGCTTTCTAGGAAAATAGTTTTGCACCATTGCCTTCAGTGGAGTATTACATCTGTTGTTCAGATTTCCGTGATACAAAGGTTTCTCCATTGAAAAAGAAGAAAGTCTACCTAAAATTTCACAGCCAAGTTGAATAGAACCAAGAGAGATCTTAAAATTAGAATTCTAGAGTTTTTGTTATCAAGAGGCATGCAAATGTGGACATATTTCAAACACAAAAGATTTGGAAACTGTGGTAAAACCATCCAAAGAACCTAGAGGTGAGGGTTGATGACTTAACTATTTGCGATTCTCATTCTCTCTGTCTCTATCTCTGTCTCTGTGTGTGTAAATGGAAGTGCTATTTTACCTCCTTTGAAGGCTGGTATTGTTTCAGAATGCTGTACCAAAAGGTGTTGAGAGTGGCCCTATCATTCAAGGCATGGTTGATCTGTTTATGGGAGGGTGTAGGTGTAAAGTTTATCCTACATAACCAGATAAATAGACATTCTGACACATATGGGAAACTATGCTGTGCTTGAACTGAAAAGAATAGATAATGTTTTGCCATTCTGATCTCATATTCTCCAAGGATTGCCTATGGGCAGACTGGCGAATTTGTAGTAGGGTATTTGATCCTTAAAAAAAAAAAAGGCAATGTTAGGTTAGGGGAAAAAAATGTCCAAAGGAGACTAGCTGCTTGGTGATGTCAGATCCAAGTTCTAAGGGACAAACAATGTGTAGACTCTAAACCAAGTACAGAACAGATCAAAAAAAGGCATGAAGCACTGGTAGCTGTATTATGTAAGGCTTTTCATTTCTAAACATTGCATCTAGAAAAATCAGTTGGGCTTCCTCGAGAAACAACGCGTTTTTCAACTATTTCTTCTAGTACTTATGTGAAGATTAAAAGTCAGCTCAGGGATCATAGGAAAGTCAATCCATAATTGTGAGGGAACTTGGAGAAAAAGAACATGTAATACTTCCCAGGCTTAGTTTCTGTTATTTTAGGCTGAAGTAAAACTTAGAGCCCATTTGCTCCCAGGTTCCTGACAATTAGTTGGCAGCTTCTTAGGGGAATCAAAGGCATTATTGAACATTATAACAGATATAGCCCAAATCCATTAGAAGTAGAAATTTTGTGACTTTAAATATTTGTGCATTCTCTCTCTGTCTTTCTCTCTCTCTCTCTCTCTTACACACACACACACATATGTGTACACACACATATGTGTTTGTATATATGTTTTTTTTTCTCCTTGCCTTTTGTTTGGGACTGGGGCTTTGAGAAAGGACTGAAGATGCCTGTGTGTTTCTGGCCATAAAGAGACAGGGAAGCTTTTCTACACCTCTCTGTGACCAAATAAGACATAAACTCACATCAATAGGCTAGTGTTTCCATACTCTTTTTATTGAAGGAGATTATAGTCTTGATTGACCATCTTCCCTTTGCCTATAAGTTTAATGCCTGAGTCCTAGCTTCCGGGTTTTCTGGCTGGGGTAGGGTGGGGTGTCAGTGCTCAGATAATTAGGGGATGTATCGTATCCAGAGTTCTCCTCTGAAGGAGCTTGTACAACCCCATTCTCTCTTCTCTCCTGCCCCACTCCTTGTCCTTGGCTTGGGAAAGAAAAACAAGAGCAGAGTGATAAGAAGAGACACAAATAATTTTGAAACAGATTCCCAGGTATAGCACAATAAGATGACTCTGGTATTAGTGCAGGCTCTCCTGGTAACTCACAGGTAACATACATACTCAACAAACATTGTCCTCATGAAAACCCAGTGTAGAAAGCAAACTTATACAGAGTGGCTTCAAGGAGTGTTAGCTGGGGGTTTCAGTTTATGCAGCTCAGTAGAAATGAATTGAATGTGGCATTTAGTGGGCAAATGGGGAAAGCTAATGGAAGATCTTTGTAGTAGAACTCCCAAAGGGATGGATATTGTTTGAGACTTTCTTCAACTGCCCATAGTTTAGACTCCTTCACAGATGTGTGTTGGCCCATTATAAAAGTTGAGAAGAAAAAGATCAGCCTGAAGAGTTTCATCCACAAACTTAAATGTACTTTCATCTTAGCTACGCAGATAGCAGACATTGTTATTTGGGGATATAAACCTAGCCTTTTTCTCTTAAAAATGAAAGATATGAGCTGTTTACAAGTAATCTCCTCTTAAATGAATGCAAAACAAAATTGCAAAACCCAAACCTATGTTCTCTGCGATGTGGGGTAGGAGGCTTACTGGAGGTCCCTGGCCACCAGCCTAGCTCCAGGTTTAGTGAGAGACCCTGTCTCCAGGGAAGGAGGCAGGAAGTGATAGAGCAGAATGCCCAGCAGCCCTACATTGACTTGGTCTTTTGTTTAAACTCATGAGCAATTCTCACAAATGTATTTTTCACATTTATAGTGTTTAAAACGTTTTATCATCTGATACATGCTGTACCTTGTATAATGCATCCACATGCCCCCTACCTTTGGGTTTTATTAGTTACCAGTGACATTTTTCCTTTCCCACCCTGCCCCTACACTTCTCACTTGTTGGACTGAGGCATTAACCCATGCATATATCTGCCCCCACACTTCTCACTGTTTTGACTGAGGCATTAACCCATACACATATATGTGGAATTTGTGGTACAGCTAGGGTCTTCTTGCTTGCTGATATCCTGGTTGTGAGTTGGCGAACAGTGAGCTTCCGCCCCGGGGAATGAATCTGGGGGCTTTTAAAAGCCAAATGTTACAATGCAGTAGGATATTCTGAGAACCATGTATTGAAAAGATAGGGTCCAAATCAGCTACATATTTGTCAGCTCAGCTGTATTTTTCAAATTGCCGATGGTTAAGTGGACAACCAGGAAAGCTCTGTGGCCCAAGGCTGTTTGGAAGTGAGGAAGTGATCCTGTGAAGCATTAAGTGGCTGATATTGCCAGCAGAGTGGAAGTGTTTGGTGGAACTTGATTTTCTGGAGTGACAAGGCTCCTCAGGCATGCTGAGGAGCATCCTGGCTGTGGGTGGGTCACTCACAGAGGCTACATGTATGATGAAGAGTTGCAGTCATGTTATAAAGGGCTCGTTCATGCTTTCCGACTCCGTCTGATTACATCCCAGAGCCATGCCACTGCGAAGCTGCCAGCTGCAGGGTGGGATCCCCTGGCAGTAGCCGCTATGGCAGTAGAGGAGGAAATTTTGTTTCCAGGTCAAGTGGGATCCAGATACTATGAAGTGGAGGGAGGGAGGGAGGGAAGGGTGGGTTGGGGAGAGGGAAGAATGGAGTTTTTTTGTAATAAAGTCATAAAGTATTTTTCCCTAATTTTCTCGCATTTCCTATTTATATAAAGAATCTTGATCACTGTGTTGCTCTACAGAGATTTTCAATGGAATTAATTTGGGAGACGAATTAATCTCTGAAAAAGAAATTGACTAGTTATACTTACTTTTTGGACACTTTTTCTGTATTGTGAATTGTGTGGAAATGTACAGAATAAAAAATGAAATATAATTGATTTGTGTCTTTTCTTTCTAGTGCGCAATACAACAGATGAGAATAGTAACTAACTTTAGTTTAATCAGATTTTTTTTTAGCTCAAAGGGTAAATGAAGAGTTGGCAAAAAGGATCCTAAATAAGGCAGAAATATTTTGAAAAATTAAACTTCTGCTTTTACAATGAACTAATGTCAGGTTTACCTTCCAGCCTCAATAAAAACGTATTATAGAAGAATTGTTGTTAAAATGCTGAACTATGGAAGACACGGGTCCCTGAAAGATGAGAACCGAATGACACAGTTTCTAATCACCCCCACCTTACACACTGAAGTAATTCAGAGAGCACCAGCTCTGGCACAGCCTGGCGGGCTGCAGAGACCGGGCTGAGAGTTCAGAATATAAAGGAAGCCAGATCTTGGACAGAGGAGTTTTCGAAAAGAAAGAATACAACAGAGAGCTCCATAGACCTGCAGAAGCTCCCCTTTAAGTTTCCCTAGCGGGCTGCTGTACATATGTGTGTGAGGAAACTGCCTAAGCTTGAGGAATCTGGGAGGATTCAAAGAAATTGTCAGCAGTCTTCATGTTAGACCGAGAGTATGCCAATTGTCACTAGTCATGGTGGCAAATCTGAGAACTGTAGGAACGAGGGAGATAGCTCATCAGGTAAAAGTGCTTGCTGCCCAAGCTTGAGTTCTGAGTTCAAATCCCCTGAATCTAAAAAAACACCCCCCACCAAAAAAAACCCTGGTGTGGCTATACATAAACCTATGCTCTCTGTGATGTGGGGTAGGAGGCTTACTGAAGGTCGCTGGCCAGCATCCTAGCTCCAGGTTTAGTGAGAGACCCTGTCTCCAGGGAAGGAGGCAGTAAGTGATAGAGCAGAATGCCTAGCAGCCTCCTCTAGCCTTCACATGTACATATAGGAGCATGCACTCTGCTCCAACACTTGCACATGTACCATTACAGCATTTTCATATTGTTTTCTGGTAACTAAAATTTGCACCAGTTTGGAGATGATTACAATTAGGCACTTATTTCACTCTTCAATGTCATGTTTTCCTGCTTCTGGCAACCTGTGTATTAGATGTTAGATGTACATTTGATTTTCTTCCACGATAATGAAGTTCAATCATTTAAAACAAGTTTTTTATCTTTTTAGATGTTGTTTTCATGACAGGTTAAGCAGTGTTAAACAATGGAAAGTCTAAGATACTTTCTTAAGGTGTAAAACGAGTAAACAAAACAAACAGGACAATATTCAAATCCTCATGAATTTTGATATTTCTCTAATTTTAGCAAATGTCCACACGAATGCTATGCAGCCACCTTAAGGTTTTCTTTTCTTGCCAGTTTAACTCTCTCTTTTTCTTAGTTTTTGATTTTCTAGAGTCTACCCACAAATTCCTTTCTCAAACTAAGGTCTAGTGAAATGGATTGTCTTCTTATATGTCTAAAAATGTCTGCTCTCTCCTTTCCTCGGGATTTATCTGTCTTTGAAATTCTGGATTCGGCATCATTTATGATTGAGATGTCCAGAGAACTGGACTAAGGAAAAGAAGAAAGTCCTGTGTGCTTGGTGAAAAGTGGACGCTAATAGAAAAACGTAACAGACCACTCAGGCCAAACAACTTCATGTTTACCAAGGAGAAAACCATGCTACAAAGAGTTTAAAATGTTTTCAAGATGGCACAGGTACCAAGTGATAGGAAGATGTCCCCAAAGCCCAGGGAATCACCTGTACTTGCATCAGAATACCATGCACACAGGCTTTGGATTCCCCTGCCGGAACCACAAGAGGAAATGGGAAGGGATGTATGGCAGGGTAGGTTGTTCTAGTGTAGAGCAGCCTGGAGACCAGCCTCAATGCAAAGGACCCAGGATTGCTCATTCCTTTCCACATCTGCAGATAAAGACTATAGGGGTGTGAGACAGTCTCAGGAACCCTTCTCAACGGGCATCTCTGAACATGAGATTCAGATGAAGATAGGATTCAAAATGCTTACACTGAAAGCCCTCGGTTTGGAAGTCTCTGCTAATCCCATCTAAAGTACCACTTTGTGAGTGGTATATGTTATATAGTGTTCATAATTGGTTGGTGTTTTTTTAAATACTAATGCCATTTGGACAAGATGTCTATGGAATGAAGCCATGAAGCCTGGCTTTTTGTTGACTGCAAAATCCTTGAGGGTTTTTTTTTTTTTAATGTGTGCTCATTTCCAGGGCCAAATGTTGCTGGGTTATTGGCACTACAAGCTATCAGTTCAAAGGCATGAAGATAATTTGCTTCGGCATATACAGATGGAAAGGACCGGAACTTACATAGAGCACAGATGTTCAATGGCTGTTATGTCTCACAACTACATTAAGGATATGATAATGATACAAGGAAGGATGTTTCTCCTTCAAGGATCAATCTAATTACATAGTGGGGTTTCTTCTCAGCTTGGCATTTAATGAATCAATATGGACAGCTCTGGGGTTAGCCCTTATGTTGCCGACTGCAAACTGAGTGAACTTTGGCACACAACTCTGCTTTCTGGGCCTCAGTTTCCTTGTTTGGAAGTAGGAAAAAAATCAATTAAATTGAGTTGGTGTGCTCATTACATGATATTGGGTGAAAAAAAATAGAATATAGTTTTGCCTTAACTCTAATTAAACCACATATATACATATATATGTAGTATACATACATATATAGCATATATATGTGTGTGTGTGTGTGTGTGTGTGTGTGTGTGTGTGTGTGTGTGTGTGTTCATAAAAATAGGTTTCCATATGGCTTTTCAAACATTTTCACTATTGGTCATCCCCTTACCTCCTCATCCATCCTACCCTTAAGCCCCTGATCCATTATTCACCTTTCCTTTTTCATATTATCAGTGTCCTACTATTATAGGTTGCCAAATTAAAAACAAACAACAACAATAAAACAGTGCCAGGTGTGGGATATGACCCCTTAAGTTGTTCATGAGAAGTGTTCTGGCGATCCTCCAAATAATACATACTATGCCAATGTTCTTCACTGCCAACCAGGGCTTGATGGTAAAACCCTATTGCTGAAGACACCACACACATCCGTCACAGGACATGGACATGGGAAAATCAAGTCTGTACTGACCAGGAAGTTTCCTCCTTACTGGTTAGTTTTCACAGTGCTGGAAGTTACTATGTAGGTTCCCAGGGTGTTGAGGAGGGAATTATCAACAGTTTACCCCTCTCTGAACATTGTGATTTATGATAATAGCTGGTTTGGCAAGATATGCCCATGGGTGGCACATAATGACACAAATGTCACATAATGACACAAAAAATAACCAGCTACTTTCTGATTGGATTTTAATGCATGCTTTGCCGTAAGAAAATCATGCCTAATACTGTAAATCTGGCCAAGAAGTGCTACTTGGGGGGCTCAATGGCTAAATGGACATAGTATCTAACTGCCTTCTCAATTCGTACCCATAAATGATGAAGCTCTCGAACCTCATCAGAGAAGTTTCTCTGTGAAGTAGACTGTAGTTAATGTGGAAAATCACAACTGGTTGAAGTGCAGAGAGTAAGTATATGTGAAATGCTCAGCCATAAATAAGATATCTAAATCATACCCTATTTCCCACAAGGCTCAGGGACCACTTTAGAAAAGGGAGTAGAAAAATTACAAGAGCCAGAAGTCAAAGATGACTGCGGCCAAACAGTGTCTTCTGGACTTGACAGGAGCCCTGCACTCATGAACTCCCTGCAGCTGTGGTTGCATGCACAAGACCTGTATATCTAAGCCAGTCAGCATCCCAGGATGGAGGTAGAGCAGGCTCATGAGTCCCCATCCCTGGGTGAGGAGCTCTTGACAGTTGGTGGCCTCTGGGGGAAGGGAGAGTTAATTTTCTTTTCAGAGTATGATCCCTGGTAGGTTGCCACACTCTAGTGGATATACCCACAACACCGAGTATCTGAGATGCTCAAATTGGATTTGATGAGAGAGAGAGACAGAGACAGAGACCTTGAGAGACATGGAGATGAGAGCGAGACAGAGAGGGAGGACATGAAATCGAGAGGGCTGGGGATGGTGATGAATATGTGAAGAGTTAGGAGAAGGAATAGGAGGTGTAAACTTTGGCAGCAACAAATACGGTTACAGATAGTGAGAGAAAATGTGGAATACACATCCTCCTAGTTTTGAAATGTAAATGGAAAATTATTAGCTCCTTCCAAATCTATGTTCCTATGACATCAGTATGTGGGCACAGTGAATTTGAAGGGAAACCACCCTGTGCTAGCTTCTGGGGAATGAACACACACACAAAGTGCACATTAGCAATTTAAAGTCTCTGGATATGTTCATTTTAAAGTCCTCTTTTGTTAAAACTGTGGTCATATTTCCAACTTCAAAGAGCATCAAGCTAAAGTTGTCATGCTTCTCTCACAGTGTTGAAGTGCCTACCCTTGCTGGAGTGACACTCACCGCTGGTCCTGCTGGTCCTGCTCAGTGCTGGTTCAGGTCCCTGCCTTGCCCTGTTGTACAAATCTCCCTCTTCCCACATGCTTAGCTCAGAGTGACTCTGAGTGAGGTCTGACTCCTCTGGATTTACAATTTTGTGTGCTTTTACAGAAATAGTGGGAAAAGAGCTCCTTCAACTCAAATCTAAGGTTTACCATGAGGACCATGGTATACCTATATGAATTAAGCCCTTTGGATGCCGCCACTGCTTGGTCTGAAAAACAGCTCATGGCTGGTTTCAATTATCTTCATAGCAGTTTGTTCTGGCTCAGCGAGCTGTTGGCTCACTATGGGGAGAGGTGTCAGCCATTCTTACTTCCAATGATACACTCCCCTCTGACACAGGCAATCAGGATAGATGGCTGTAGCTACTCTCAGTACCACTGGTAAGAACTGCATACTTAATCATCAAATGCAAAATGCCCGTTTAAGTCACCAGCAGCATAGTAATACTGGAAGAATGGAATTTTCTAACTTTGACCCAAGTTAGACTAATATTTTCCATTCTGTTTTTCTTATAAAA